TCTGACCAAATTATTATAGACCTCAAAGTATGTCTGTTAAACATCCAAGAAGGTTAGTTCCACCAGTCTGGTATTTTAATTACTGTGTGTCATGTAGATAAATCTTGGGCAAAGACCAGTTGTTCTCAGATAAACCTTACCTAGACATATATTTCTGGATCTCCTATGTATACTTTGTCAGTAGGTTGTAGGAATAATATGATTCTCACTGGTTTTCAAAGCTAGCTAGGCATTGTTTATCTTTCACATTGCCTCACCCCTCCATCATGGTTTTCCCACTTAAGGTGCCCCCATTGCCCCCCTTTCTTCCATAATAATACCCTTCTCCTGTGGTCCTACCTCTCTTGAGCTCCTTCCTTCCCTTTATGCCCTAGGTTCCTCGTATACCCTTCCCTCCCCCACTCCCTTAAACTAACCCAATTTTTATCCATAGCTCCCTTATTAAGGCCTGTTTCCTACTGTTTTTCTCTTTCAGGTTATTTCTTTTCCTTTACCTCCCTGTTTCCTTTCCATTATCCTAGTTTCTGTGGTTACATCTGGTTGCATACTTATTTATCAGAGTCTTGTACTAGGATCCATATATGAGGGAGAACATATGCCGATTTTTTTCCTGAGTCTGTGTTTCTTCACTTAGTATAACAGTTTCTAGTTCCATCCATTTACCTGCAAATTTCATGATTTCATCTTTCTTTACTGCTGAGTAAAACTCCATCATATAAATGAACCACATTTTCATTATCCACTCATCAATTAAGGGACACTTAGGTTGCTTCCATCTCTTAGCTATTGTGAAAAAAGCAGCAACAAACATGAATGTACAAGTGTCTCTGCAATAGGATGAGTTCTTTGGGTATATGCCAAGGAGTGATATAACTGGGTCAAATGGTAGGTTCATTTATAGTTTTTTAAGAGTTCTCCACACTGTTTTCCATAGGGGTTGAACCAGTTTGCAGCCCCACCAGCAGTGGATGAGTGTTCTTTTACTCTCAGAGTAATGTGTACCTTTGACTGAATAAGCCAAGAGCTGATAATAAGGAATTGACAAAAATAAAGGGATGCCAGCTAGTATGTGTAATGTTGTCTTCCAATATGAGTCTGATTTCTTCCATTTGAAATCACTTAATGCTTAATGAAAGTTCTGTACCCATAATAAAATATAAACTCATAACACTGTTGTGAGAGAATGTTCGTAAAGCACAGCACAGCTGAGTACCAGGCAACAAGGCATTAGGGCAACTCCCTGGAAGGACCACTGCCATTTCCTGTAATGCTTTGGGCAAGGGATAAGGTTGGATTCATCTTTTGTAGGAGTCTTGCTAGAGTGAATCAACTTCATTGTTACAAATGAAATACAATAAAAATCTTTATTTGTTGATTGATTGGTTGAATGAGATTGGGTCTTGACATTTTACCCAATTGACCTACAACTTCAAGTCTTAAGTCATCCTCCTGCCTTAGCCTCACAAGTGTGTCACGGGAGTGTATACTATGCTCAAGAAGTTAACATTTTGTGTGCACCACACTCTGTTGTATGAGAAAGCTTTGCTGGTGAGAGTTGAGGGATGTATTATTCTCTCTACCCCCTGTTCTGCTAAGTTCCATGAGCCTTAGCTGCAGAGGCTCCATTGTTGATGTGTCATTTAAAACTGGGCATCCCTCAGACATATATTCTCTGTGTGTGACCTGTTGTGGAACTCTCTAATAACCTCCATTTGTTGCAAAAAGAAGCTTCTTTGACTAGTGGGGTATAGTACATTTGTCTGTAAGATAGAGACCCATATTTAGCATGCATCTTTAAAAAGCATTCCTATTTACTTATTTGTTCTTGTTTAATTTTTATTGATTTTTTGTGTATTTCATACAATGTATTTTGATCCTGTTAAACTCCCTCTGCTATCTGTACCAGTCTTATAATCCCACCAGATTTCATGTATTTTAAGGCCTATTGAGTCAAGTTTGCATCCCTAAATGTTCAGTGTGCATCCAGCCACTGGAGCCTGATTAAGCTATCTACCGTCACACCTTAAAGAAAGCCAGCTCTCCCTCTCCCAGTAGCTATTGGTTGACAATGGTTCCTCTGCTAAGGTACAGGATCCTTACCCATTTCCCCACCCCTGTGCTGGACTTCTGTTTGATTTGCGCTTGTATGATCTTGTGCATGTTGTTATCATTGTTGTAAATTCATATGAATAACTTGCCAACTATCTGGAAAACTCCATTGCCTTGTGATCATCAACCACCTCTGGCTCTTACAGTCTTTCCAAACCTCTTTCACACTGTTCCTTGAGCCATGGGTGGTAGGGATATAGGTTTCCTATTCAAGGATACACATTCTGCAGTATCTTATTCTCTGCACTTTGGCCAGTTGTAGCTTTCTGGGTTATTCATTCTGTTGCATGAGGAAGCTTTGCTGGTGAGAATTGAGATATGCATTAACATTCTTTCCACGCCCTGTTCCACTATGTTCCCTGAGCCTTAGGTATAGAGATTGCATTGTAGATGTGTCACTTAGGGCTGGGCATCTTAGCACCTTACAGATTCTCTGAGTTTGACCAGTTGTGGAACTTTGTAGTCTCCATCTGTTGCAAAAGGCAGCTTCTTTGAATAGTGGTGAGAGGTACACATTGGACTTAAGGCCTGCTCAATGGGAGGGAACGCATGTGTGGTCCTGTAAACATTGTTAAATACACATGGTGGAGAAATTATAAATTCTACAGAAAAACCTACTTTTTTGATCTCATCACATCCCTAAACCAATGTAATTTCTTACTTTATGCTAAATATGTATTCTTATATTTACCGACAGGTATACCCCTCACCTTCATCAAAGTATTCCTATTTAGAGTTCAAATTTGGGCCAGTGAGATGGCTCAGTAGGTAAAGATGCTTGCTGCCAAGGCCTGACAACTTGAGTTTGATCCCTGAGACCCACATGGTAGAATAGAAGAACCTCCTCCAGAAAGTTGTCCACTGACCTCCACATGTGTGCTATGATAGGTGCACAGAAGCATACACAGGTACACACACACACACACACACACACACACACACACACAATGTAAAAAAAATTCAACCTCAAACTAGATTTTAAACCCTTTTTTATAGTAAAAATTTCATAATGCTAGTTGCATCTATTTTAATTTACGTTTTATCCTGTTTTCTGCTGTTGTTCCTTCAGCCTTTGCATGCAAGATTCTTTCCCACTGACTGTTCAGCCTTGTGTGATGCCAAAAGACTGTGAGACTTCAGAGTGGTCCTCCTGGAGTCCCTGCTCCAAGACCTGCCGTTCTGGGAATCTCTCACCGGGAGTCAGGAGCAGGAGCCGAAATGTGAAGCACATTGCTATTGGGGGTGGGCAGGAATGCCCAGAACTTCTGGAGAAAGAGGCCTGCATTATTGAAGGGGAATTTCTGCAGCCATGTCCCAGGTATTTTACATTTGTTAATGTGAATATTTTTAATATGTAACCCCATTTGAAGAGCTGATAGAAAGGTTAGTAACCATAAACATGGCCAAGACTTTCTTTCTTCTGAATCATTCTCAATATAGGAGTTCTGCACTTGGCAATACAGTGCAATACAGACTCTCTCAGCTCAAGTTCTGTTTCCAAAACTTTGTAGTTATGTGGTTTTCACCAAGTTACTTACATCTAGTGTCTCGGTTTGTACATCTGACACTACATTATTTAGTGCTTAATGCATAGTAAATGATCAGTAAGGGTTATTTATTTTTACCTGGTGTGACATACTTAATACTTATAACCACCCCAGAGTCATGCATAGCACCCTAATTGTGCCGGTGAAGCCATTAGATGAAACAGTCTCTGAGGTTGCATAACTAATAAGCAGCAGCACCCTAGTTCTAATCCCCTTCTCTGCCATATCTCATTGCCACTGTGCACCACAATTTCTCTTCCGGAGTCCCTGGGGAGTTAGAGGATATTGGAAAGTGGCTCACCATCTATTATAAGCTGGATTTTAACATCCTGATAGTCATTGCTTTTGCCTGGCTATATTGCACCTGGTAACAGCCTGGGGGTGTTTTTCTTTAGGTTGTTGGTTTGTGGTGAATTCAGTGTTCATAATGACCAAATTCCTCTGTTGCTGTTTATTCAGAAGTCTGTTAAAAATGGATTCATAGAAGTTCATGCTGGGCAGATGCCCTGAACTCTCTGCTACCTACTTACAATAGACATTTTCTAGAGTTTCTTGAAGATCTGAGGTTGAGATTCATTTTTCCAGAAAAAATAAAACAAGGAAAATAGTTTGTTATATAAATTAATTGTTTGTTGGGAAAGGAAAGGTGGATCCATTACAAATCCAACAGATATATTTAAACAGCTGGAATTACAGGTGAGTTACAAATCCAACAGGTGTTCTTTATTGGCTGAACCTGGCTATTCCTTAATCTTGAAATAATGTGTGCTTTGATGAAACACAATCTATTGCTTTTTACCAAAATGACTCCTTAGATTCTTTTTTCTTAGGTTTTGGGAATATGTGTATACAAGCCTAAGGATAGTGGTGGCAAACATCCTACCATAATTTATTATTTTGTCTTTCAGATAATGTTATTCATTTAGAACAAATAGGGTATATTTTTAGAATCAAATTTGTAAAAACTATAAAATCTTTAATAAGTTATACGGTATGATATATTTACTTTGAAAATTGCTGTTAAAAACAAGATGTATTAAACATGTGTGTGTGTGTGTGTGTGTGTGTGTGTGTGTGTGTGTGTGAGTACAGTAGCCTGGCAAGACAGTAGAAGGGCTCTAGATCCTGTGGAGCTGGAGTTATAGGTGGTTATAAACCCCTGTGCATGAGTGCTCAGATCCTCTTCAACAGCCAGCTCTCAAGCCCCTACTTAGATGCTCATCATCCCCTCCTTCAATGGTGCAGTTGGATGCAGCTCGCGACTCTCTACACATTAATTCAAGCTCACAGAATCCATCTCATGGTGTTCATTTTACGTCAATCTTTCAAAACACTGATTTTGAGCTAAACTGATGGTTTGGAGAAAGAATAACTGGGATCTTTTTCTTTTTCAAACCTGGATATACCACTAAGATTTTGTTTCAATGACTTACTAGCTATGGCATCTCAAACAAGCTACATGTCTTCTCTTAGACAGTCCCCTTGATAGTAGAATCATTAATAGCATTGCTGATGCTTCAGGGTCGAAAAGCTGGAGACTAGATATGTAAAATTCCAGGCCCAGTGCATAACAAGTAGAGGGTGAGCATTGCTGTCTGCAGGTATACTTATTTGGTGCTTGGATAAAAAGAATCCTTACTTCTGTAGTAATTACAATAGAAAAGAAGCATTTCTTCTAGGTATTTATGGGGAATTTCCCCATATGGAAGTATAATTTGGAAGGTTTTGATGGTATGCAGGTAGAAATAGAAGCTTGGTTTATCATCATAAATTACTGTGGACCAATAATTATGATAGAGGCAAAAATGAGCTAAATATGAACATTCCATAAAAGGAAAGGGCTTATCAACCAGATGAGAAATTGCCACTTGGAGAGATAGGGTGTTCATACCAATATGCACATGACCCTATATGCCTTTTTTCAGTCAAATAGCCTCGAACTGTGATAATTTAGGAATGCTCACTGTGAGTTTGTATAATGATCTTCGTATGATTGATATTTAATGTCAGGAAATAGAAGCCAGCAGATTACACTGATGATAAGCTGGTCCCCTCTAGTTCTGTTGTTTGAACACATAGCTGAGTTTGGCATATATTTAAAAAAAATAAACAAAACTTTTCAAATGATGAATCTACTGGAAACAAGCATCTTGGAGAATTCACTGAAATACCAATCAGCATTGCCTACAGAGAACGATGTGTTAACCAACGATTCTCCTTGGTTACTGGGAGAATGATGAATAAATAGGACAATGAAATCAGCATCACCTGCCTTCTTGTTTATCTGAATTCTGGGCTGTGGCCTTTACCGCAGGAAATATATACCACACAGCATAAAGGCTATGGATTCACATTTGTTCCTTGCTTGATATTGGTGATTAAAATTCATTGTGAACAATTGAACTGGAAGCAAAAATCTATTAGGGAGCATGAATGCCCATTTCTTACTCCCTGAATTCAGAGCTGGCCACGTGTATCAAACAACTCAATTCACTCATTTCTCCACAGCAGGAAAATGCACATTGCTGTGGGTCTTTATGTTGTTTTGGTCAAACTCTTATAGTATGGTTTGGCTTTATCTTTTCTATTTTTGCTACAAGAAATGTGTTCATTCATTAAGTAAACACTGAACTCTTGTTCTGTGCCAAGCCCAATGTTAAATGCTCAAAAGCCCTCAGAAAACACAATAGATACATGCATGTCCTTCCCTGCAAGGAATTTAAACTTCCTGTTGCAAAGAAAAATCAAACTGAATAAACTTTATTGTTGGTATATTAGATGGAAAAAATACAATACTAATACAAGTTAAAGGGAGAAGCTTCTAGAATTCTGTAATGGATCTGGTCAACACAGGTTATAAAATTAAACAGAGTTGTTACAGAAACCTCATTTGAATAAGGGGAATTTGGGGATATTATTTAAAGGAGATAAATAAGTTAGCCACTCAGGTAATTAGGGGAAACTATTTATTTTAAGAAAAGCATGTAATATATAAGCGTTTTAGTCCCTGTTTATTTACATCTTTCTATTGTATGTTGTTGAGGATTTCTCACCAGCTAGGCTCCACTGACCAGCACTGCAGCTGTGACCAGAGTATCAGTCCTTTAGGCAGCAGTCCATGAAAAGAAGCCTCGCTAAAAGGAGCCCACTTTAAGGCACTACCTGGAATCAGAACACTTTGGAAATTGTTTGGAACAACTAACTTTATTTGAAAGGCATTAAAGTCTGGTCTGTGTTATGTCTTGGGGGGAGTTTTAGAACTGTGTGGGAGTTAGCGTCGTGTACCCTTAAGCTTGTTTCAGAGGTGTGATTTTGAACCTGACCGAAGTATAGCCCCAAATACCTTTCTCCAACATCACATGGTCTATGTATAATTTTTTGCTCTGGTCCCAGCTTCCACATAACACTAAACACCTCCATCCTGTGTTAGGTGGTGAGTGATATGCATGGGAGAGAGAAGATGGTCTCTTAGTCACCTGTGGCCCTGAGCTCATGTAGTTGTCCCCTGCCAGTGGGTATCACCCTCGGTCCCCAAACACTAACAAATATACATATACAAATACCTAAAACCTTTGTTTTATTTATCATATGTCCCAAGTAACATCCAAAACATCATATTGTACATTTCAACTATGGGGAAGGTAAATGCTTTCTAGAACTATACAGGATGAGGCAGAGTTATTTATTAGACAGTCTACATAAAGATAAAGGACAGAGAGCTGTAATATTTGAATGCTTCATATCAAAGAACTAAGGCACATTCTTGCCCCAAAACAGCTATGAACAGAATGCCATTATAGAGGAAGAACCTGCAACTGTCACAGTGAAAGTTGACAAAGAGTCAACTGCAGGCAGGCACCTTTGCAAGAAATGATTCCTCAGATAACCTGCCAGAAACTTCCAGCACCATGAGAGACAACAGCTTTCATATGAAAATAGAGGCTCCACCTCTAAAATGATGATTTAAAGTTTGAAATTGAGTAGCAGACAGCACTGTCAAATGGCGACAGTGACCAATGCAGAGTAAATCTCTGAAAATTTTCAAGGCAGAAGATGCATGGCTAACAGTATCACATAGACTATGTGATTTTACTACATGGAAAAACAAATTTACTAAATATGGTTTCAATATTCTTGTCTGGCACTGACTAGTTGGGCTCTTTAAACTCCTTTTAACTTGCCATTCCTCCCTCATTTCTGGTCTGTGTGAATTTATCTTTATTATGGGTAGGCTAGAAGCCCTTTGCAAAAAGTCTGTCTGCAAACTTGTGCTAAGGGATGGATCTGGGCTCCCAGCATTCCCTTTTGAGTTCCTTGTTAAAAAAATCTCCTGAGATTAGCTTGGTTCTCCCTTACATCTTTAATACACTCAGATCAGTGTTAGACTTTCTAGATAGAACTCCCTTTAACTTAAGCAAACTCTGAAAACTAGAATTTTGTTGGTGACTATTGACTTCTAGCAACCTGTAGAAAAGAGAGTCAAGGGTAAAACCTGGCCTAGCTGTTTCCTTCTTTGGCCTGTTGAAACACTAGAAAGTGCTTTTGAGGCAATGTTCATTCGAAATCTACTTCATCCTGCCTCTGAAATAATCGGTGGATACTTCAGATAGGAGGAGATGGAAAACTTTGATTTATTTTTCATATGAATTTTACATGTGTTCTTCCAAACAAGACAGTATGTGCACTTCTTAAAAGACTGCTGAGTAGTAGTGTTCCTACATAACACCTCGTCCATGGGTATGACTCTCTTGTTAGTTTCTTTCTTCTACCT